CCCCCCCCCCGTGGTCCAGGCGTCCGCCTCCTGCACACGGGTAAGCCACAGAGCCTCTCCTTACGCCAGCTGGAAAGCGCAGGGAGACGGGAGGCTGAGGGTGCTGTTCAGACTCTCCCTTTGTACGGGGTGTTCCCCCCAGCACCCCACTTTCCACTTGGTGCCTTTGAGGGACCCACTTCTGCCCGAACCGGAGAGCGGGACCGGCCCCCAGTCATCCAGACGGGGCCCGTGTGCATCGAAGCCGCTCTGGGCCAAAACACCCTCTCTTGTCTCTCTTCGGAGGTGAGCCAGCCTGGCGCTCCAGGCCAGCAGGAGGAGAGCAGGGGGCCCAGGATTGCCGCCCCCCCACACTAAAAAAAAAGATTCCACCACCCAGAGGGGGAAAGAGGCACTTTGGGGGCTCCCCCAAATCCCAGGTGCCAGGGGAGTGGGGGAGGGAGGATCTCCCTGACTAGACTGGGGGCTTCCGCACGGCCTCTGCTGAACCCGAGGGTCATCTGCTGCCCCCCCACCTTCTTTTTTCCCCCTAAGGGAAGCTGAGTGGGTGCTTTTTGGGGCCAGAGGAGACCAGCTCGCCAAGGAGGCAGGGGGTGCACGGTGAGGAGGGGGCCGAACGGAGGTGGGGGGCTTCAGGCTTCCATCTCCTCCACCTCATTTACCGCAATGGCTAGGCCTGTTTCCCTTGCCCTCCCCTTGCCCTCCCCTCAGTCTCTGCATCTTCGCCACGGCCCCACACATGAGCAGAAGGTCCAGCTAGATGACCCCTGGCGTCCCTCCACCCCTTTGAGAACGAAGCCTCTTCTGTCGTCTCCTCCTTCCTTTGGCTGGAGGTGACCAGAAGCTCGGCCTTGTTTTGCAGGGACGTTCTCCCTTTGAGGAGCGGGGTGGGGCTGGGCCCCTGTCTTGGTCTGCAAAAGAAGCCCCCCCCCCAGCTGGAGCACTTCCTTCTCGCCCTGCCCCACCTCTGGCCAGCTGTGGGGCTTGCATTCCTGTCTGGCTGGCCTCCCTCCTCCCCTCCCTTCTCTCTCCGTGTGTGTGTGTGCGTGCGTGCATGCACATTGTTGTCTGCTGCATCACCGACCACCACCACCACCACCACTGTCCTCCTCACGCTGTGCTCTTTTCCTCTCCTGTCTTGTTCTTGCAGGAAGCCCCACTGGGTGTCTGGGGCCGGAGGGGAGGCCCTGCTCCAGTGCCAGCCTTGTCTGGCCAGGGGTGACTCACCAAGCCATAAGGCCCCCTGTCTGAGGGTCCAAGGGCAGCCCTCTCGAGCTCCAGGTGGTCAGGCCTGGGGGCGGGCAAGGGAGACCGGCTGGCCGGCCGGCGGACCGTCAGGTGGCTTCCTGCCATGCCCCACCAGCTGTGGGGAGCGGAGTCTGCCCACCGTTTGTGCTCAGCTGCTGATGAAACACCAGGGCAGCAGCTGCTCCACAGGCGAGGGCTGCACGCGCACACGCACCCCGTGGTGGATCTCTGTGCCCCGCTAGACCTGGGCAGAAGCGCTCCGAGCCCCTTGCCAAACGAGAGGAGGGTCCCATGGGGCGGAGGCCCCCCTGCGGTTTGAGCAGCTGCCAGCCCCTGGGCGCTGCCTGGATTTGGGCTCACGGGTGGGGACCTTCGGCCTCTCTTCTCCCTGCTTCCATTTGTTTTTTTAAAAAGTCTGCTCGTTTGTACAGGCCTTCTTTTAGAACAGTCCCCACATCTTGCTTTGGGTAGGCCTCTCTCCCTCTGGAGTCCCACGTCCAGAAGGCCATCCCCTCCGAAAAAACAAAAGAAAACAAAACAAAAACCCCCACCCAACCCCTGTCTCAGGCGGTTCTCTTTCTAAGATTTCTAGGGTAACTTCTTCTCGACCAGGAGTCCTGTGAAATCCAAAAGACGGCACAGCTTTCTATCAGCCTCATTCAGTTGAGGCCAGAGGCCGTGCTTCACGGACCCCCCCCCAAAAAAAATCCCGTCTGGCCCAGAGGCAGTAACGAGGCTGTAGCCCCATCCAGTGGAAGGCTGTTCTGGAGGTCGGTCAAGCCAGCGCCAGCGCCCCCCCCCCCGGCCCTGTGCCCACCAGAGCAGGTAGTGCTGTGGCTCTTTTCCGCTGGGATGGGACGGCGTGCTGTCAGCCAGCTTTTTTAGGGCAGAGAGGTGGGCTGGTGGGACCATCCCTGCTCCCTATTTCGCAGCCCTTTTCCCCTTGCGTGCCCACCCGGTGGTCATCCCAGCCCCTGCCCCGCCGGAGGGCCTGGCAATGGTGTCCTGCAGACACACACACACACACACACACACACACCTCCGGCCAGCGGATGGGACGGCGTGCTGTCAGCCAGCTTTTTTAGGGCAGAGAGGTGGGCTGGTGGGACCATCCCTGCTCCCTATTTCGCAGCCCTTTTCCCCTTGCGTGCCCACCCGGTGGTCATCCCAGCCCCTGCCCCGCCGGAGGGCCTGGCAATGGTGTCCTGCAGACACACACACACATACACACACACACACCTCCGGCCAGTCAGGGAGGGAGGAAGAAAGAGGGGAATCATGTTTATCACTTTTCCTGGAGATTATCTGCTTAAGCGCTCCTTGACAGTTACAATAACAAGGACCGGGACTCTCTCGGATTCCCAGCAGAGAAAGGGGACCCTGGGCCGTGGCGGACGGCCGCTGAAAGATGCATCGTGCTAATTGGAATCGCATAACATCCGGCCACATGGCGGCCCCGCTCCTGGCCGCGGCGGCGCTTCCTGAGCCCCACAACTTTTGACGACAGTTGGTTTATGTTTTCCATGAATATTATGTTCTCTGGGAAACCGGGAACAACGCCTCTTGGCGGGCGCGAGGCAGCCCAGGTAGAGGAGGGCCGGAAGCCGGAACCGCCCTGGGGCTTGGGATCGATGGCAGCGGGGCAGGGACGAGGCGCGAGGAAGGAACCACCCCCACCCCAACACACAAGCCACCCCTTCTTCCGGGCTGCCAAAATCGGGCCGTGCCTTTGGTTAGAAAATTCTTCTCGTTATTTACTTGTTGAGCGGAAACCGAGGGTGGGCCGGCCGGCCGTGCGGGGCCGCCTTGATCTCATTGAAAGGCACGGCCTCCTCCCTCTCCCTGGACTCGGCTGGATTGGGTGGGTGAGCGTTCCCATGGGAGGGGGGCACGCAGCCTCCACTGTGCCCCCTTCTGAGTTTCAAAGAAGGGTTTCTTCTCAGCCAGGGGGTCCTGTGAGACTCTGAAGGTGGCGTGGTTTCACACTCTCTCCAGATGGAGCCCTGCTTTGCTTTTATATCTCAGGGTGGGGGGGAGGTCTTTGGTCCCTTTTGCTGGGGGGGGGGCTTGCCAGAAGGGAAGCTTTCCTCCGCAGCTTTCTCTGCCTCGTGGTGGGGATTAAGCCAGATGTCTTGGACGGGTTCAGGTCTCCTGCCTACCGCCATGTGGCATCTGTGTGACGGCCTGGGTTACCCCACCCCTGCAGTCTTGTTCTGGGGCCGTGTTAGCGCCACACGAAAAACCAGGATCCGGGAGCTCTCCCGCCTCGTCTGCCCCCTCCGCTCGTGGGCGTGAGAAATTCAAAGGCCAGGCTTAGAGTCACTTAGCAAGATGAGAAGGGCTGTTGGAAACAGGATCCGACCGAGGCAGACGCCACCCTGCAGGGCTCTGTGTGTGTCCCGTGAGTCGGCTGGCCGTGAGCTCAAGAACGGCGAGGTTGGGCAGAGCGCGAGAGGTTCAGTGCTGTCTGCCCACAGTCTTTTGGGGCCTGTTTATGTGTGTTTGTGTGTGTCTTTGTGTGTGTGTGTGAGAGAGAGAGAGAGACGGCAGTCACCATCCATTCCTTGACCTCAATGATGAGCTTTCCTGTCACCTTTGAGTCAGGACTCTAAAGCCCTCGGCTCTTACTCAGGCCTCGACAGGCTGTGTCGGATGGGACGCCTGATCCCCTCGATTCCGCCCGTAATGCTTTAAAGCCAGCCCCTCAATTATAACGTGAACCTATTTGGGGGTGATAACGAGAGGCTGGTCCTCGATCCAGCAGGAAAGCCTGTGTGTGGGCGACCCACGGACCGCGCAGCCCGGCTCCTGGGGCCCTTCCTTGGCGGGGAGCCCCACACCATTAGTTGCCCCCCAGAAGGCAGGGGTGGGGGTTGTGAAGTGGCCTCTGCCAGGAGTCGCGCACCCTTGTCCTCCCTTTTGGCCCGAGAGCCCACCTGGCCCCAAGGGAGCCAACCAGAGGAGGAGGATCCCTGCTGCCCGGGCTGGGGATGGCCAGAGAGAGAGGCACAGCTATGGGTGGGTCCCGGGTGGCCTTGGGCCCTCCCTCCTTCTCTCCCTCCCTCACTCCATCCCCTCCTGATTGTGGGGCTGTGGGCCCCTGCCTCTTCCCCCCCCCCCCGCCTCCCACAGAGTGCCTGTCGGAGGACTGCCGTTCGGTGATCCAGGAACAGGCCACGGCCCTGGGGCTCGCCATGTTCTCCCTCCTGGTCAAGCGCTGCACCAGCCTGCTGCGGGACGTCGCCCTGGGTGAGTTGGGGGGGCCAGGAGGCCGACCTTGGCCTCGCTGG